GTCTACTTCCCTCTTTTTGAACAGTAAGATCATATTATTAGTAATAACACTTCACTGAGAGACGGGAATGTTAAAAATCTTTGTGTTGTAATGAAATGTTTAATACATCAGTGCTGTTTCAGGACTGTTTTCAGAGTGCAAAAGATGTTTGACTAATTATAAAAACACGCAACCGATGACTAAATTCTGAACAGGTGTTACTGTAAAACTAGAGTTTCTTTTCAAGTCAATTTTATTCATGAAGGCCAATATCACGAATGACAAATTAGCCTCAGAGTGCTTTACAATCTGTAGAGCATACGACATCCTCTGTACTTTGACTCTCACATCGGAAAAGGAAAAGGGTATTAATCATAATTATTATAATATACTGTACACTAAGTTATTGGTTCTAAAGGTTCTCGTGTACTCTACTTGTGTCTCTGTGTTTGTGTCAGCATGGCGAAGCGTTACAACATGCGATTGGTGGTGAAGCAGAGATTTTCTGAGTTCTTTGAAGAGAAAGTGAAGAAGGAGCATCATCGCAGCCTCATGATGAAGATGATGGCTCTGCAGGTAAAACTGGTACAAAGTGGCTCTTGAAATTTAAATATTTAATTATCAGTCATAATCATTGTCTCTGTAAGTAGAACAGTATATTATCAATTGTCACAAACCGGGCCGAACGGCCATGACAAAAAAGGGAGACGCATTCAATGAAGCAGTTGATTAATTATTTATGAAGTTTAAAGTAATATAAAAGACAAACATAAACTAACAGTGACATGTGAAGTCAGTCATTTCAGCAGTGTAAGTGAGTGGGTGTGTGTAAAGTATATGCAGTGTTGTATAGTGTAAAAACAAACCATAACCGCAACCAAAGTGGGTGTCTCAGGAAGGAGCGAGAGACCAACTGAGGATCCAGAGGGTTTTTATCCTGGGTGCTCTGGCACACAGGGCCAGTCTTGCTAATGGCCTCAGGTGCTTCCACTCTGCCTGACGACCCTCTGCCACGCCCACCTCCACACCTGCAAGGAAGGCAGCCAAACGAACAGGCAGAGAGGGTCGTCACACAATCAATAATCAGTTGTAAACATTGTCTCTGTAGGTAGAACAGTACGTAATCAATCAATAATCAGTTGTAAACATTGTCTCTGTAGGTAGAACAGTACGTAATCAATCAATAATCAGTTGTAAACATTGTCGCTGTAGGTAGAACAGTATATTATCAATCAATAATCCAAGTGGGCCTTTGGGTAAATCAGTGCTCTTTAGCGTAATTTGTGTTGTTTTTAATCAGTTAATGTAAGATAAACAGAAATAAAAGTAGCGTCAATTAAATAGTGAACACTTCTTCCATTCTAAGTTATAACTTTACCTCCAGACATTAAATTCATGCTCTACATTATAAGCGCGGTGGTTCTGTCAAAGCAAGTGACTGAATGACCTTTGCTCAGCGTGTTCCACTTGTCATGGCGACCAGGCTGTGATGGGAGGGATTTGATCTCAATATCTTTCAGGAAAAGACGAGACTTAAATGTAGATGAAGAAATTAAGACGTTACCAAAATCTGTCTTCTCTTTTAGTCATTTCTGTTCCCCTCTCAATCACTCTGTCTCAATCACACACCCACACTACATACTGCGTCTGTTTTTTGTCAGACTGTCTGTTCTTTGTTCTTCTTTGACGGTCTTTGTCCATCTTCGTTCTTCTTTGTCCTTCTGTGTTCTTCTTTGTTCTTTGTCCTTCTTTGTCATCTTCGTCTCGGTCCCATCTAAGCCATAAAGTTTTCTGTTCGTGGGTCGGGTGACTTGTGTCGGAATCGGTTGTGTGATGAATACATATTTTTTTTTTATGTTGGCTGAGCAGATTCTCTCTCATAACGTTCTCGAGAAAGCTGCAAGTAGCAACAGGACAGGACGTTGTTTTGAATGGGTACTGTAGTAGTGTCATAGTAAACCATGTTCACCGTGCAGATTATTTTACTGTGTACTGAACTTGTAGTTGATATGCATTTAATGTGTGAATTACTATCTAGTTACTGTTTAGTGAAAATGTGCTTGTTGTATTTTCAGCCGTTTCCTTGTGAGGATGGAGATCGACAGGCTACAGACAGCAGAGGAGAGTACGGCCATGCTGAAGAGAACTGTGTCAGAGCCGGCGTCCAACTCCCACTGGTGGGTCTTCTGAATACACATATTTCCAGTCTGGTTGCTATCGGTTCAGAATGGTTTGTCCAAGTTGAGTCATGTGTGGTCTAACAGTTTTGTTTGTTTGTGTGCAGGGCACTCTCAGCAGATCTGAGTGGGAAGCCGCCAGTAAGTTTTTAATGTCTCTGTAATCTTCGCATTAACGTCAATGTTACAGTTTAATCTTCGCATTAACGTCACCGTTACAGTTTAATCTGCACATTAACGTCACCGTTACAGTTTAATCTTCGCATTAACGTCAGTG